AACGACTGAATGGGAAGTGACATTGTAAAGTCCATCACAGTCATGTGATTTTTCGCTTAGCAACCACAGTGCTTAGCCATGGAATATAAATTTATGTTTTCCAGTCCCTTGGCCACTGCTGTGTTTTTCCTAGCTGCTGACAAATTGTGACTTGCACTTTAACTACATCAACTTGCAAAGTTTAAAACACTTCTGCTAGTGTTTCATCACCTCCTACAGCTTGGTCCCAACTGTGGTCACTAAGCAAGGGCTACCTATATACAGTACATATTTCTACACTTAGCATATTCTTATATAAGGGATATAGTTGAAATGATGAATGAGTGCAAGTTACTGTATATAAAACCTAAACACTCTGCATAAACACTTCAAGTACCTTGAAGAAACAAATACTTAACTATTTTTAAATGTAATCTTTAAGGAATTGCCTATGATTTCAACAAGAATTTATTGCGAAAATATGTCCAACTCTCATTTCATCAATAGAGAACATATTATTCAATTCCTCTGTTATGATGAGAGAGAAAATTTATCACTTCCACAAACTGACACATTTTTTTGCATATGTATACATATGTGGCCAGTAATCTATGCATAATTTCATTAGACAATAGACTTGGTAACACTGTAATTCAATCCAAACTAATCATGTAACGGATTTTAAAAAGGAAAAGTAGGTGTGGGGAAGCAACCTACACAGTGTAAACATGAAGAATAAGAGTTAAACTCATACACACAGGCAAAGATCTACTAGAGAAGGAACATATGCAGAAGAGATAGTATGAGCATGCCGAAGAACTGTAGAAAAAATATCCCTAACTCAATAATATGTACCAGTGTTTGATCACTGAATAACATTCTGGAAAGTGAAGTTAAATCGGCTGTAGAAAATACTGCAAACTACAAAGCTGTAGGAGGTGATGAAACACTAGCAGAAGTGTTTTAAACTTTGCAAGTTGATGTAGTTAAAGTGCAAGTCACAATTTGTCAGCAGCTAGGAAAAACACAGCAGTGGCCAAGGGACTGGAAAACATAAATTTATATTCCAATATCAAAAAACGCAGTGCTAAAGAATGCTTGAATTAACAATCAACTATACTTAATTCACTTGGTAGTAAAATAATCCTCAAGATTTTGCAATGTAGACATCAACAATACATGGAAGGGAACTTCCAGATGTACAGTCTTGATTCAGAAGAGGCAAGAGCATCCAGGATCAGACTACTAACATTCAATGAATAATTGAAAAGGCAAGGGAGTTCCCCAAAGATGTCTATTTTTGCTTTTTCGCTAACAATTTGACTGTAGTTGACAACAAATTTTGGATAATCCTTAAAAACATAGATGAACTGGATCATTTCATCTGCCTGTTCAAGAATGTACATGATTAGGAAGCAACAGATAGAACAGAATATGAGTAACTAAATGGTTCAAAACTGGGAACAGATTACACCAAGGCTGTATTCTGTTATCCTATTTATTTAACTTATATAAGCTCAAAAAACTAATGGGGATGGTAACTATGTTTGCTACTTAGGAGAAAGACTGTGACAGATCTAGACAAAATATTAAAGTGCAAAAAGTAGCTTTAGAATGGTATATTGAGTTCACTTTCCCTTTTTATTAAGCTCTCAGACCAGAGAGATACACGTGTTACATACAGCATGCTCTCATTTACAAGGTTTGACATGACTTCCTTGTCCCTCAAAGGGGAGGAATTCATTTTTACAGAGTGTATAGCCTGTGTGGTATTTTTACTTATAGAGACTATCAGGGAGCAGTACATAGCAGGTTTCATCTTTATTTGAGAGTCATCACACATACGTAGCTACGATGTTTCTATGGGGCTCATATCCATTACTGGGAATTGAATTCATGGGCCATGTAAAATGAACTCATGAAAGTCATATGAAACCTCATAAATGAGGGCATGACATATGTAACATCCATATTTCTCTGGTCTAAAAGTTTAAGAAAAAGGAGGATGGCCTGTATATATTATTCTTAAGATAGTTCTATATACTGTATCACTTCTCACAATACTACTGAGCACCAGGGCCTTTAGTTCCTAAAGCTATTGCACTGTATATAGTAATCTGAGTGCAACATGCATGAGTTCAATTCCCAGTAGAGAATTGCATCACTGTGATAACAAGGTGTGCACTGTAAAGGCCATGGTTTTCCCAATTGTAAAATATGGCTATGTAATCTGGACCTTTGATTATTGTATGCCGCCAAGAGCCACTTTGATTGATTGATTGATTCATTCATTGATTGATTGAAAGACAGACAGACCGACCGACCGACCGACCTTCTGAAAAATGGATGAAGTAAAATTGATGCTTTTGAATTTTGTTGCTGGAGAAAATTACTGAGAATATCCCAGATGGCAAAAAGAACAGCTCATTCAGTATAAGATGAAGTAAAACCAGACTGCTAAGTGAAAGCTCTAATAATGAAGCTAAAGCTTAATTATTTTAGACGCATAAGACAAAGGCAAGAGTCAATGGAGAAGACCCTAATACAACTGAAAAGAGGCTAATAGAAGCCAAGGTGATTAAATCCTGTCACTGATAACATAAACATGAAGTTACAAGAACTCAATGAAACAATTTCTGACAGAAAGTCCTGGCAAAATGACATCTTTTGGGTCATGAACGGTCATAAGTAATTGAATGACTGAACAACAAATAAATTTTGGGCATGTTAGGCTAAATATACTAAATATAGCCACATATGAAAATGATGTGCAGTACTTCTATGCTATACTAAGCTACACTAAATATAATCTATGAGATGAAGCTGCTGAGCAACCCATATTCACTTAAATTTATGTCAGCTGAGCTCATAGGGCTGCACTCAATGTTACATGAATGGACTCATGTTCATGAAATCCTATTTGTCTTCACACTCTTACATTCTTTTTTTCCGCAAATCTGCTCCCAAGAGTACCCCAATCTTCTTGAGCAAATCTGGTGCACAGGGTGGGGCAGGGATAATAATCTATTTTGCTAGCACTAGAATAACCCAAGGTTTTGAACTGATAATGCTTTTATTTGATGTTGTTAAAATTTTATTTATTTGTTCAATTTTGATAGCCACATATCTCACATACATGACTCTGGGCAGCTCACAGAGTTAAAAAAACCGAACGATACAAAGAAATAACAAAAACAATAACAAAAACCATTAAAACACATTTAAACAACTAAAAACCATTAAAAATCATAAAAGCCATAAAGTCTTCAGGCCCTTCTGGAAGGCCAACAGGATTGGGGCCAATTAATCTCATGTTGGATGATGTTCCATAAGGCAGGTGCCACAGCAGAAAAGGCTCTCCTCCTGGGTCCTGTCAGATGACATTCCTTAGTGGACGGGACCCATAACATGCCCCTTCTGCCGGACATGATGGGATGAGTAGATATAACCAGGAAGAGGCGGTCCCTCAAATAACCCAGCCCTATGGCATGTAGGGCTTTATATGTCATTAACAGCACCATAAATTGAACCCAGAAAGAAAATGGTTACCAATGCAGCTCAAAGAGCAGAGGTGTAATGTGCACTGATCTAGATTAATTTTAATTAACTATTAATTAAAAAATAAAGCATCTAGATGATAGATCTATGATAGATTTATTTATTTAAATTTACTGGCCACCAATTCAAGTGGATTAAGCACTTTTAGTTAATCAGTTGTAAGTAGTATCTTCATTATGAAAAACAGTTTTATGAAATATAAAAAAGAATAATAAACTGTATTTCTAATAAAGAATGTTTGCATCTGAACTGAAAACTTTGACTACTAACCTTAAGTCCAAGCATTGCTCCTGAATCTCTAGGCACGCTTCCATCTTTTAGGCGTTTATTTAACAAAATTCGGCCAATTAAGCCATCTCCATCTTTGGATGGCTGCCAGGTTACAGGATGCTATAGTATACATTAAAGAAAATAAAAATCAGCAAAATTAAATTTATATGAAATTTTGAAAAGATTTCAAAAAGATTTTCAAAATGAAAAGAAATCTCAGCATCACATTTATTTGGCACTTTTAAATACTGTGAAGTAGCTATGATTATACTATTACTGTTTTTAAAGATAGGAATTGGAATTCCTATCAATCCATTCCAGTCATTTCTCACATCTTCCTAAACAACAAATCCAAATATGTCTAAATCATACCTATACATTAAAAACCAATTCAGCTTATCATTATGGATTTGAAAACAGTGAACATCATATTTCAATACAGAGAGCATGAATGGGGGATCTAACACAATCTAAACACATAAGAGATATGATCTTATGTAATACAAAAACCACATATTACTTGAAAATAAATCCCACCATGTTCAGTCTCTAAAATTCATTTAAATAAAATATAATAATTTAATATTTTCTCTTAGTATATCAGCATTTAACATTTATTTACTACACTTTGCTACCAGAATAATACATATCAGTATTTCTTAAAATTTTAGCCAACGATTTCAAACTTAGAACATCTGGTTTTGTATAATCATAGCACTTTTTCACATTATGTACCAGTTTCATGCTCTCACACATGCACAAATAAACATGCACAACGTTATTTTTGGCCACAGTGAAAGCCTACCACAGAAAGCAAGGAAGAGCAATAACAAAACACATACAGCAGATGACAGCTACTACCCCATAAAGCACATAATTTCACAGTGACAAAACAAATGAACATGGCAATGAAAGGGAAAAAAGAAAAACAATTCTGTCCAAACAGATACAGTTCCCCCTCCCCCATTTTTTTCAACCTGGGAATTAAACTATTAATTTAATTTCCAACCCCAGGGGCATTACAGCAGTAATTAAACATGCCAATCCAGAAACAATTCTCATTGTTTAATCATAAAGATGATGTCACCAAAATAGTATCGCATGTCCATAAAAGCAATGCTTCTTTTTAGTGCCTGAATAATTTTGTTCTTCCTTATACTTTTGAATGTTAATATCAGCAGAGTATCAGTAGATGTGGTTTTGTTTTTCTTTTCTGCACCTCAAGAAATGTTAGATTAGACCTGCCTTTGTATTCTTGATCTGTTTTAATGAGTGACAGAGAGCAAACAAAGACCAAAAGAGCAGATTAAAATGCAGGCACCACAAAGCCAATACCTTTTCACTATGGCTATGTTCCTCATTTAAAGTTGTGCTACTACACGTGTCTACCCCAGAGTCCTTAATCTGAGGTTCAGACCATTCCAAGTCCTCTTCCAAAGACTGGCCACCAAAACACACCATTTTCTTTTGTCTTTCAGATAAGATGTTAGAGTCCGACAAAACTGCCTGCTCACTAGTTTTTCTTTTTCCCCTTTGACTGTCCCCTACAGGCATGGGATAAAAAGGATACAAGAAAGAAAACATGCAGAGATGTAAATAAAACAAAGAAAACATGAAATGGCAAAGGAAACTAAATGGTAAGGCTCCACATGTCTCACCAAAGACATTGGGGATGCCTCACTGCTATGCCAAGACGTATGGTCCCAGTTGTAGTCCATGTCTCCTGTGAGAATCAGACAGAGAAGATAGTGCAGCAAAGGAAAGGTGAAAGGAAGGATAGACAAAGATATAATAGACGTTGCATTTCTATCATCCTGCCTTTATATGCTTTACTCACTAGCATGTTATTTAGAAAAAGAAGAAATTTCAAAGGGATGGCATATACGGGAAGTGCAAGACAGTGTTTATGTTTGTGTGCATGTGTTTGTATTCTGTCTATCTGATATATAAGATCTTACAGATTTGGTATTACTAACATCACATTACATTCCAAACATAAGGAAAAAAAAGATATGAGAATATGACTTCACGTTAAAACCTTATGAATTTCAGGAAAAGACGCAATTTATCGCAATATAGCTTTTATTTGACAATGATTAGGATCATGTTTGGAAATAAGTTCCATTGAAATCACTGGGACGCTATTTTCCCTGAACATTTAGGCTGTGTCCTAATGGTATTTTGTTTTGTTTTGTTCAGCTAATGACAGATAAAAATTAATATAGCAATAGTTATAGAATCTATGTATTCTTTCTTAACACTGTTCTATAAAATGGTCTTGCCTTTTTAAAAGAAATCATCTTCAAACAAAATAATCATTTCTTTTCTCTAGTGCCTATAAAGTACTGATTTATGTAAACAGAAACTACAAACAGAAATTTACGTAACTGTGATTTCCTGTATGAAATGTTTATTTTCACAAAAAAATAGCATTAATGATGTATTTGACACAAACATGCACACACACAAAAAGGCTGTCAATTTCTGCTATTTGAATGTATTTATTTAAGCAACATGGGAAGAGGGGGAAGTACATGGTTCATGTAGAGATTCTCTATTCTTCTTGTTCTACAAACTCCCCCATGCACTATTAATGGAACTCAAATTTTCTGCTTCAGTAGATCTAAATATTTCAAATTTCTGATACACACATGGTGAAAGAGAAATAATGATTAGGACACACAGAGGGGCGCTCACATAGCACCTTTAGCAACTCTTAAGTAAGCTGCACCTTTTCTTGGGCTTATGTGGTTGCCACATAATCCTAAAGAAATGCACGATTTAAGAATTTAATGACAGTGGAATTATGGATTTAATTTTACAACAGGTACTTATTACAGTTCAACTGATTCTAAATTGTAATGCTATATCCCACTATACTGCTATTTTTATTTCAAACTGCTGGCATACATTATCTGTGGAAAAAAACTAAAACGATTAGTTTTAAGGAAAGGGTAAATGTACACCTAAGATTAAATGTAGTTAAACCAAATAGCTGTTAAATTATAAAGATTGTAAACTTGTATTTTATTCAAGTAAACTTCAAGAATTATGTCAAACATACAAAATTGGAATTAACGTTTCATTAACAAACACAGGAAAATAATGGTGCAATATATTCTAGTATATCTTGTTCTTTTCTCTTTACCTATCCTGTAATTTTTGTACATATGTAAAGATTGTTGCTGTTCAGTCGTTAAGTCGTGTCCGACTCTTCGTGACCCCATGAACCATATCGCCCCAGGCCTTCCTGTCCTTCAC